AAAAAAAAAAAAAAAAAATCAGACCCTTTGTTTATCTTGTTTTTAGGGAAAAGTATGACATTTTTAAAATTTCTCTTGAAACAAAATAAATCAAGATTATAGGAATTGGGAATAAGTTTAGCTAATATGACTCTGAAACAATTTTTAGTAAAGGGGAAATGTCAAACAGAGCTGTGCAAAACAGAGCAATATGGTTTCATAAAACCTTCTATTAATTAACCTCGTCTTCATTTAATTCATGTGCGTTTCCAGCCTGGATTTCAGAACAATGTGTGTATAATTACATGTGCAGTCCTGCAAGCCTCATGTAAGTGTGTAACACTCCTACCAAATTCAGTGAGATTGGACCCTATATTTATTTAGAAGCATTATCCTGATGCTCATTAAACACTGTATGCAATTATGGGACAAACGATTTTCTCCACTGCTTTTATCTGGATTCATGAATTTATTTTGCAGTGGATGAAACACAATCCTCCCTCCTATTTATGCCCAGTGTGCTGTGATATATGGGAGCCTCAAAACCCTAGGGGTAATTTTGCCTTTCTTATTTTACTACCACATGGGGAAAAGAAACTGGGCCAAAAAGTATGGAGATTATAATGAAAACTAAAGTGGCACTTCCAGGCATAGTTACACATACAAATTTTGCCCAATATTAATTGAAATGTATTGGGACAACATTTATAAATTAATTGAACCCCATTGAAGTCAATAGAGGATTTGGTCCAGTATAGCTGGGACTCAAGTTAACTACATGATTATCAATAAGTTTGTACAACAGCCTTCATAGCATCCACAATGTAGGTATCATTATTTGCAGCAAAACTGCAGTGTTGATGTCAAGTAACATATTTTTGTGATGAATTATGCAGTCAATTCATATCATCACCATTTTTCTCTAGAGTTTGCTTTCCTTTTGCAGACTTAACACTGATTTATACTGGAATCTGACAGGAAGACAACCTATTTAGCACCAGCCTTATCTGTATGCTGTATATAAATCCATTCTATTGGAATTTTGTAAAACCAAAAATCAAAAACAGCATGTCAGTAAAGCTGATCTTACCTGTCCAAAGCAATGGCAGGAAAACTAAGGATGATCACTGAGCAGAAGACTTTGTGCAAGAACTTGACAATTTTACAAAACATCATGGTATAGATCCACCAGCAGCACTGTGGACTGGCACTGAGGACAATGTCAAAAGGCACGCAGACTAGGCTGGCACAGATCCCAGAGCAGGCCAAGTTCTTAATGAATCTGTTTGTTACTGATTTAAAAAATGATGTTCTGCAGGTTGACCACAGCACCATAAAGTTTCCTGTGGCAATAAAAAAAGATAAGAAAAAAATCATATCTTAAACTAATTTTCATATTTTATACAAGTACAAATAAAACCATTTGTTTTGAATTCACTATACCTCATTGATATGATCTAATATCTTTATTCAATATATACAAGCAGTACATAGAGGTTGACCTAAACAGTTAAACTTTCTACTATATGTACCTAAACAGGGTACCCAGACCAAACACTTACAATTAAAATTCCATTACAAATATCCAAAACATGGAAATCTGCTAAAGTGTCCACACTTGAAGAACTGGCACAGTATTTACCAGAAATACACAGTATTTTTAAAGACAACCATCTATATTAAATGAATATAAAGCTTCCACATGGTAGTGATTTCAGTTGCTTATTTGAGTATGAAAATGATCCAGTGGCTTGCTTTTTCCACTTCTGAAGACCCTGGTACACATTTCTGGTAGTACATTCAGATCTACAACATTCACCTGGAATCGAATAGGATTTAACAGATTCCTTTCATACAATAATGTCTAAATATACCGAGGAAGGGAAAAAAAGGAGGAACATAAGATACACGCCAAAGGTTTTTCTAATATTCAAGAGGTGCACAGTTCAGTTTGCACAGAAATATGGGTGCAGAAAAAGAAAATAAAGGCAACAATCCACAGAAAATAACGTTAGTGCGATAGTATTTAATCACTGATAGGTGGCCTCATACTCTACTCCTGACAGAAAAAAGTCTCACAGAAGAGAAATGGTGATTCCTATGCAACCTCGACATGACTTCAAAATCTCACAGCAGCAACACAGAAAAGAAAGGAAGCACTCTACTGCACAAATTCTGGGGACCCTCCCATTACATACCAAAAATGGCAAAAGCTCAGACTCAATATAAAGCAAATTCAGATTACCAAAGACAGATTTTCAAAGATGAGAGAAAAATTACCTAACAGCAAAAGTGCTTTGAGGGGAAAAAGTTTTAAATGCACTGTATGAAAATAAAAAGATGCATTTATTATTCATCTTGAATACTATACAGCAACCGTAACTCTAAAGCATGTTTTTTGCTGTTTCAAATAGTACACAGGGCACATTCTGATGATCATGCACATGCAGCTTGCAGTGCCTCAAACCCATCTGAGGTGCTGTAAACTGTACACAGCGCAAGTGCAACCATTCACTGCACTGCTACTTTGCTGCGTGATGGTTTTTAGGATACCAGGAGATCCTGGTGTAAAAAAACAAAACAAAACCAAACCAAACCCACTGCTAAAAAAAGTGGTGTGGCGCACATGGGAGCAGCGTGTGCTGCCAGAAACTGGAACCTGTCTGGACAGAGCTGCCCTCTGGATGCTGGCCTGTCTCCAAGTTGCCAGCCTGGCTGCACTGCTGCTCTAGGAGGCCCCCAGGACCCCAGGTAAGTACTGTCACCAACAGTACTATTTTGCAGCAGAGTTAATTAATCTATTGCACCCTAATACTGCCACACGTGTAGATGGTGATGCTTTACTGGAGAGCTAATTAGTCTACTCCACAGTAAAGTGCACATGTAGATGCAACGACTGAAAACTAACTTGTTTCAGAAGGAAATGGAAAGATGTATTATCATAGATATGCCAGTTTACCTAAAGCAAATCATACGCTCATCAATATTGTGGAAGGGGTCAGATTGGTTTTCCTAATCTAAATATTCCTGGATGTATATCATGGAATCTGATTCTAAACTCTTTCCCTCATTCAGAGATTCATCGGTGATATGTATGTAACTTTAAAACTAATTAAAATCATAAAAGAGCTGAAGAACATACAAAACAATTTAAATAAATAAAAACAGCCCCATCTTGAAGAAAGGTGCAGGTTTCTAAATATTTAGAGAACTCAAAACAACAGCAGAGTCTCTTGACGCCTAAAGAAGGGTGTTTGTGCCCGAAAACTTGCAAAGAACTTTTTTCCCAACTATTTAGTTGTTTTAACAAAAGTTATCACATCTACCCAAAGAACCTTATAAGCCTGCCTATTTCTAAATATGGGGTCCCATTAATGGATTGGAAAAGTACACGTGTTTAAAGAAAAAGGTGGGCAAAAGCAAAAAAGATAGATAATGGCTTATTATAGATAATGCAAAAAAAGAACTACATCAATGACTGGTAGGATTTTCCTTGTCTGATCTTCTTCAGCCTTTTTAAACATTTCTTTGAGCCTCAAAGGTCTTTCAAGCTTTCAGAAGAGGAGCTCTCTCCTTATTTTTTAAAATAAGCTACTCAAAAAATGAAAACAAACTTACCTTATTCAATCTTTCTACAGTAACTATCGAAAGCCTTTTTAATACGGAAAATCACTATTAAAGAATATTTGTCTTGATGGCACTATGCAGTTAGATAAGGAATTCAAAAAAGAAATTATAAGTGCATCTCTGCAGGGCACTAACAAGACTTTGGTAAAACATCTTATCAGACTACAAATTGACATAAAATAAATGCAGTAGGTTAAGGTGTTGGTATTTAATAAAACACTATTCAAGTTATCATACCAGAACACAGCTATAATCATTCCACATTGTCCAGTCCATTATACATCAGACATACTTAGTTCTTTACTAAAGCTACAGAGATGTTTGATAATCATTAACAGCTGTACACACCACATTTAAGACTACAGTAACATTTTCGGGCCAACCTGTGTTCCGTATGGCACAGAACGCTAAACTGCATGCAACGAGGCACAGAAATAAAGATGGGCAAACGTGGTTTTACAAACGGTACGCTAAATCTGGAATCCCTATGTGTATTGTACTGAGGGAAGACATACTGGGGTCAGTAAAATAATTATTTTGGCATAGCTACATGAGTACAAAAATTACCAACACAGGTAGGGATTTTAATGTGATTGCACACTGTTATATCATATCATTCTTATGCAGCATCTTCACACTTACCAGAAAGTCATACTTTTCATTGCTTTGTGGAGGCTGAACAAAACGGAGAGAAAGCAGCAACCTAAAAACTCTTACCTGTGATATCCATAAGCAGAAAACCTATTTTTTTCTCATTTTCCAAATAATATTGTCAAACAAACAGAAGAAAATTGTCAGCAGCAGGAGCACAGTCCTTGCTTTGATAGGCCAGTTTGCATTACAGGCAGACAGACACAGAAATACCAATGAATTGACTTGTAGATCCTTGCTTCACTTGGTTAAAAAGGTTTTTAAAAACTAAACCATATCTTCAATGTATTAAAAATATGTAGCATCTACGCCAAAATCAAAGTACTACTTAGAATTATAATAATTATCATAAATAAATAAACCCTCATTTTTCCATTTTACATAACGTGTGAAGTATCTTATTACCAAAATTACTGTTTCGTATCTGTCAAAATATTTATCTAAGTATTTACTATCTGATATATTTTAAATAGTGGAATGAACATCTAGTTTTAGCAGTTTCCTTGTGCGTGACAAAATATTCACCAATCAGTATTCAATCAGCTATGTTTAAAGCTTTGGAAAGTGCTAAGAGGTACTCAGTCAATCAAACCATTTGCTTTGCAAAATATTCCCAGCCCTTCAGTTATTAGGAGAAAACCTTGCACAGTAACCACATCTTAACTGTGATGCCCTGGAATAGAAAAGAAACTGGTGCTTATTTTTTTTTAAATTAAAACCATTTATTCATTTTAAATTGCTTTAGTAGTTCTTCACCTCTATAAGGCCAAATACAAATAAAGTACTACAGCAGAGAGTTGATTATTTGGAAAGCCAATTAACCAAAAGGCTTTGCATTACCATAAAAACCATCAGCCACAGTTGGGTTTTTCTGTTGGCAAGACAACTGTGCATTGTTCATGTACAAGGTACACTGTTTATGTGCTAGTGCTTTTACATTTAAAAATTACACAGTACCATATATTTATTTCTTTGGGCTTTTTTAAATACTTATTTGACGGTACAGGTACAACAACAATTAAAATATAGTTTAAAGCACTTCACACTTTGGTGTGTGATTTTCTAGAAAAATGATTATCCAAAATGATGGCGACACTATTCCAAATAGTCAACATTCTACTGTATTGAAATTAGAGGGAGTTTCAGTAATGATTCAGATGGTGGCAGACAATTGTGAAGCAAAATGTCATGATTCTACAGCACAGTTTCTGAACTTGCAATGAACTAGTGTGTTCTCTTGAATCAGACTGCACATTAAAATCAATAGCTTTTTATAAACCTAGAACTGCCATAGAAAGTCTTCTAATATGAGGCATAGATGAGATGAAAACACCACAAACACTGACCAAACCTGACTGGTAAGCAAGAGGAGCATAGCCTACAAGGCACTGTCCCTCTTTCTAAGACAGGGGAAGCCTCTTTAAACAAACTACATTAAGCTGCAGACAGTGTGACTGGTTGGTGTTGCGGTGCTGCACGATGAGGCTCCCGGGTGCCCTGGGGATGGGGTAGATACCTACTGACAGCCCCCATTTGACAGGGGATTGTGGCCCGGAAAAGGCTGAGGGACAGCTCAACTGAACTGCAGGCAGCTGAACCCCAGGAGCAGAGGCACGTGCTTCTCTGCCACTCCACTTTAAAAGCATGCTCTCCCTGTGCATGGAAAGGCATGCTGAGAGTGACACCATAAAAAGGTGTCTGGAACCCCAGCATGCAGCAGCAGCTGACTAGAAGGGAGCAGCAGCAGGCCCTCCACGGGGCCGGCTGGACATGACATGGACGCTGGAGAGCTGCCGCTGAGCCAAACCAGAAAGAACCAGGAGGGGTTCTTGCCCCTGAAGACAGGGACAATGAGGCACTCGAGTGATTGGTGGGACCCACCCAGGACTAAGACTGAGTGCCAGAAGCATGAGTCCCTTGCCCCGTGCAGCACCACAGCCGGAGCGCTCTGGGGCTTACCTTATTTCAGATTTGATGCAAGGGAGAGCCAACAGGAGAACCCTGGTATGGCCTGCTGCAGCCCTGCTGCAAGGGACAATTGATTTTGATTTGATAAAAAGGGAGA